TGAACTTCAGAAATCATGGCAAGGAAATCCCTTTTCAAGGTGAGGAATGTCAGAAGGGAACTCTCCTTTATTTGAACTTCTAGGTATTTGACGAGGAATGAGTGGAAGAACTTATTATCCATATCTTTATTTTCAGGTATCGTGATTGAGGTGTAGTAGAGTGAGTTCTCCTTAATGTACCAACTGCCTTCACCTCGGATCACAGTGATATTATGTCCCCTTGAGTGCATCTCCTCTATCAAAATATTCATATTTACCCAATGGCTACCATCCACTGGGAATACTAAAATCTTGCCACCATCAGAAAAGGGGACAGAGATGATAATTAGAAGAGATATTAAGGTGGGGAGAGTTTTCCATGAACCACACGTCTGCATTGTATCTAAAAAAAAACATTTAAGATTCTTATAAATGGTGATCAATAATGCAGTCTTATTGTAATATACACAAAGCAGTAGATTGAATCAGACCATTTAAATCAAAATGACCATTTTGATACATTTCATGGTGCAAACTGTATAATGGGTTTACTGTTATTATTCCATAATCTCCTTCTCTACAGCTGCACACTTTAAAATAAATCTACACATGGAGAAAGACTGCCTTTTTTTCAGTCTAGACCACAAATCCCAAATATTGGAAAAGAATTGCCCTTTTATATACACATATAAAGATTTTATACTACAATGAGAAAAAAATCATTTTAATATTTAAGTTTTCCAATGTATTAGAACTTGCTTGCCTTTTATGAAAATATTTGGTATCCATTGATATTAACACTAACTTAGAATACTAAAAACATTTTCTTTAAATTGCATACTACAGAGTACATATTTACACAAAGACAGAACATGTTAAAAAGTACATGTAAATATGAAGAAAGATTCTATGAAAAGTTTTAAGGAGTAAATGTATTGAAAATTCACTTACTTGTGTTTTAAAATCCTTGCCACATGAGAGAGAAATCCAAAAGTGACCCTGACATACAGAGTCTGCTCAGTCATTTAGTAAAAGTACTCATTTCAGTTGAGGTCCAAGTCCACACTTTATGGAGTGGCACTCTTAAAATAGCATGGTATTCATTGACTAAGCAAATCAAAACGAAGACAAGATTTAGAATCCACTGATAAAAAGTTACATATTTTATATTTTCTTCAGATAATTCCGGCACATTTCTGTGATAATTGTAAAGATGTATGTCCACACAAATGACAAAATAGCTACAGTATGTCATAAGCTCTTCATTAATAACTAAAAGATAATTGCAGTCAATAAAGTAAAGACATGATACTAAACAGCAATGATACGGCAAGGTGGATTCAAAACTATCTACTCTAATGACCACTTTTAAAAAGTAATGAAACAGTTTAAAAATATTTTATAACATTTCAATGTGAGCATTGGAACATCTCTAAAGCTAACTTGTCATCCTTCATTTTCTTCATATTTGGGTTATCCCCCGTGTCTTTCATGAACCATGAACCAAATTTGCTTTGCTGATTTGGCATTGATTGTTTTTAAAAGCTATAATTTCAAGAAAACAGTATAACACTGCAATTTATACACTTATTTTCTTTTGTTATATATACAGTAGAATTGTGACTTAATATCAAGCAGTGATACAGTATGAGACATAGAGTGACATAATACTACTTATTCCAAATATTAACATTAAAAAACAATGGAAAATAAGACTTTCTTTTAAAATATATTTTTATAATTGAAACATATTTTACATTGAAATGTATATAGCTGCAACCTAAATGGAAATATTGATGTTGTACTTTTGCTATCTTTGATTTTTTTGTGTGATTCTTTTGACTGTACATTTTCCAGATGTAGTATGTAGATGAATGACAAAAAGTAAGCAAATAAAATTTGTAGGTAAAATACATTTTCTTTAGGAGCTTTTGAAGCAGATATAGACTAATAAGTGTTGACTTGTCTTACTGAGATGCACATTGAGAATGATGTTTTTTTACTGTTTAATACATCTGAGACAAAGTCTCATTGGGTTTTATTCATTGAAAAAAATACATCCTATTATGATGACAGAACAGACATAGTGGCAAGTACAATGAACTGCTGAGCAACAGAAAAGTGGAAATAAATACAGAGATTATCTCTACACCTACTATGTCATTTTATAATGCTTGTCAATCATATTTTTAGTATGAATGTCATGTCATGTCATTTGCCAAAACACTTTATACCATACGGTGCCTTGGGAAGCCAGAGCCTACCCAGCAAGCAACAAGCACAAGGCAGGGTACAGCCTGAACAGGTCACCAGTCCATCACAGGGCCAGTGCAAGTCAATCATACATGGGGACAATTGGGAGGCCACGGTTAAGGCTGAGGGGGGAAATTTGGCCCGGACACCGGGATAACTCCCCACTCTTATCGAGAAATGCCCAGGGATCTTTAATGACCACTGAGAGTCAGGACCTCAGTTTAACGTCTCATCTGAAAGACGGCGCCCACTACAGTATAGTGTCCCCACCACTATACTGGGGCATTAGGACCCACACATACTGCATGGTGCATTAGGACCCACACATACTGGTCCCATGAACACCACTTCCAGCAGCAACCATAGCTTCCCATGAAGTCTCCCATCCAGGTACTGACCAGGTTCAACCCTGCTTAGGTTCAGTAGGTAGCCAGTTGAGAGCTGCAGGGTGACATAGCTGCTGGCAGTATGAATATGTGTGATACCAAAAATCAGTTTTTACATTTCATGATAAATTAAAACACCAGAGAATTTAAGGATTTAAGGATGTTTACTGAATATTTAGTAAAGTGAGATTTGGCTGAACTTTCCTGGGTGAGGGCCATCCTTCAGGTCATAATACAAGGTGGCTGGGACCCCTATTCATTGTGAGGAGTGACCAATGGACAGCTGTAAAGGTGGTGAAAGGGCGGAGGAGGGATGAATTAAATAAACTGTAAAAACATATTTTATACATTTTTATCTCTTACAAAACTGATGTCAGGAATGATGAATGAAAAAACAGGATACATTTGGTATCTAGTCAGTTAAGATCTTCCATTTAGAGTTCCAGAAATGTGCTAGTACAAGCTGCTCTCTGTGTTCTCTCCTGATGTCAGCCAGGGTGATTTGATGATCTGTTCTGTTCCTTCATGCCAGAGTACTAAACTCAAATGACATAGACTGGATCCTCCCAAGTCCTTAAGCTCAACTGACAGACTGACTGTACAGTATTTGTTACTTAAGACAGTCCTTGGGGAGTCTGATCAGCTTCCCCTCTCACAGCCCTTTTTAAATTCACTGTACAGAACTCTCTGATGACGCTGATTGTTTTCCATGAAAATATATATGATGTGAATGACCCATGTCAACTGTCTTTATGTTAGTGTGTCTTTAACACTTGGCTGCCAGTTATATTACTTAATTGTTGGGGATTTTGTTAGACCATTTCATTTTTGTTATCCTACATAATCTGCAGCTGATGTGGTTTCAGACCATTTTTTTAAATAGAAAACCAATAAACAGGTCTCTTAAAAGTATAGGATAAAAGAGACAACAGAACGTTGTCGTAAGCGTGTCTTTTTTACTTAACCTTTATACAAGTATACTTTCTTATCTGTATGGGGCAAAGGGAATAGATGAGTTCACTAACCTTTTCTCTACTAGAGTCAAGATGCTGTTAACAACCACAGAATCAACCTTTTAGGTGAAATGGCACTTACATTAACTAGGTGCTAAACAAAACTATTCAAGCAATGAAAAACAGACAACTGTGCAACTGTTTCAATATAGGAAAAAAATATTTCCAAAATGTGTGACAATGTGGCTCTTATCCCTGCAGATTAATTATTTATATAATTAATTTATATTTATATAATTACAAGTTACTTAATTGTGCTTTTACAGTACCTTAAAGTGTGAGTGGGCGACTCCTCTGTGAAAGCCATCTTTTCTGGAGTTTTATTAAATCGCATGTGCACTCAGCTGTGGGCTCTTATGGGTTCACTGCTCAAACTACATTGTGAGGTGGGGGTACACAGGGACTGGGGATATACATTTCTGTATGTCGGGCATGACTTATATTTTTTTGTGTGTTATTCATTTGTTGACCGTTGTTTTGTGTCATTTATTTGCTGTAAATTTGTTTTGTCTTATGGGGTAAGATCAATGTGAATTCAATGGCAAATTTAAAGGATTAATCTTAACACGACTTTACAACAACATTCCCACCTTGGAATTCTTTGAACCTATTATATGCTAGCTAGGAGGCTAGGGCCCTAAGCATACCTCCATGCTCCCATCTAGTTTGACAATTAATGTGTAATGTTAATAATGTTGCTTTATTAGCCCTATACAATTTCTTGCATTAGGAATTTGTCTTTTCGCATACCCCAGCTAGCTCTCCATGAGACACAGACACACAGACAGGGAGAGAAGCTTGGGGTCAGAGCGCAGGGTCAGCCATTGTACAGCACCCCTGGAGCAGTTGGGGTTAAGGGCCTTGCTCAGGGGCCCAACGGAGTAGGATCCCTCTGCAGGCTGCGGGATTTGAGCTGGCAACCTTCCAGTCACAGGCACAGATCCTTAGCCACAGAGCCAAAGAGCCACCGCTCCGTCCATGATAAGATTATTATCTTATGTTGTCAAAGAGTTTGCCCCGGTTAGCTGTAACACAGATGCAAACATTTCCCTTTGTTGAAACTCAGAAAAAAATAATTATGTTATTAAACTACTTTGCACTTTTACTTATGAACTACTTATTGAGGTTATATATAGTAGTGAGCTATTCTTCTACAGCCCCATATGAATTTCTATGTTTGTCTTCTGTAAATTTTTCTCATGGTCATAATGAAATGTTATAATTCTCATAATGAAATTTTATAGTTTATTATAAACCTACTGATCTGAGTAAAACTACAAAAAAAAAAGAGATTATGTAGTGTATATGCCAGTCTAGGCATAGATTAAGCTTATTCTGATTTTGGTTTTCTCATATAAGAAGCCCTATATCACAGAAATCTGAAAATTACAATTATAATGAGTATGAAGATAACCACAGCTGCTAGCAAGGCCATAATAACATCCACAGAATAGTAGGTGAACCAAGGCAGTCTGAAGGACTTTGCACATAGATGAGCAGCACCTTTGTGTCTCATCACAAACTTTATCCAGTAGTGGGTACTGTCCAGTGGTTTCATAGGCTGATTCTGATGCAGGTTTGAGACCCACTGCATGTTCATCCAGTAAGATGGCTCACTGAGGACTTCCTGCAAGGCCTGGAAAAAAGTATATCTGTCTAGTTTAGTGACATCAAGGATTTTGGCTCCTCCTCGAACCTGAAGCCGGGCAAGATTGTCATATTGATAAAAAAATATTGGCAGTCCCACTACTGGCATGCCATGATAAATTGCCTCAAAGATCCCATTGGTTCCTCCATGTGATACAAGTAGTTTGGTCTTGGGATGACTGAGGAGATCATTTTGAGGCATCCATGTAAACCAGTAGGGTATTGTTGCCCAAGTTAGCAGGTCTGTCACCCATGTGTCTCCAGATAACCTTCTGAGGGAGCTGGGTAAAAGCAGCGGCTATCTTTTCTATTATATCACTGGGGAGTTTGCTAACAAATGTTCACAAGGACATGATAATAACACCATGCTCTCCAGAGCTCTGAGTAAACTCCTCCAGCTCATCTGGAAGAGACTTGGCAGGTTTGGACTGAAACCTAATGTAAACAACATTAGGCATGGTGGGATGTGGAAATTCAAAGACAAAGTCAACCCTCATGACAGCAGACTGCAACAGATGATAGTAGTTAGTTCCTAAGTCAAAGTATTTATCACACACAGCTTGATATGTGGATTGACACACATATTTTGAAAGAGACTAAGACCACAGTACAGCCTGTTCTTCAGTCTCTCAATGATATTAATCTTATCTGTTAATCCTGATCCTGTCATTGGGATGTACGATATTGGTGATGGTGCAACAGCAAAATGGCCTTCTCCTGCAGTGGTCCAGCGTACATTTAAAACCAAAGGGAGCTGAAGGTAGAGTGCCAGCAAAACTCCAGCACCCCAAACAGGGTCAGTAAGGACTAAATCATATTAATTATAATAATAATTACTTACACTTATATAGCACTTTTCTGGACACTCCTCTCAAAGCGCAGGTAATGGGGAATCCCAATGTGCAGCATCCACCTGGCTGATGCGACAGCAGCCATAGTGCGCCAGAATGCTCACCACACATCAGCTATCAGTGGGGAGGAGAGCAGAGTAATGAAGCCAATTCTAGATGGGGGTTATTAGGAGGCCATGATTGGTAAGGGCCAATGGGAAATTTGGCCAGGACACCACCAGGGTTACACCCCCTACTCTTTTTGAGAAACACCCTGGGATTTTTAATGACCACAGAGAGTCAGGACCTCAGCTTTACGTCTCATCCGAAGGACAGCGCCTGTTTACAGTATAGCGTCCCCGTCACTATACTGGGGCATTAGGACCCACATGGACCGCAGGGTGAGCGCCCCCTGCTGGCTCCACTAACACCTCTTCCAGCAGCAGCCTTAGTTTTTCCCAGGAGGTCCTACATCCAGGTACTGACCAGGCTCACACCTGCTTAGCTTCAGTGGGCTGCCAGTTGTGAGTTGCAGGGTGATATGTTGACTGGGCTGGGGTTTTTTCACTAACTGCTGGTCTTCAAACATTTTTTCGTCCATTACACTCACTCTTCTGTGCATTTCAGAAAATGTATAAAATATCTCCAGTTGCAAGGCAAAGAAGTTCAATACAGAGCTCTTTCCCCTTTGGATGTCCATCAGTTTCTTCAAGGTCTTCTTAAGAAATGCTTCATCTATGATATCAGCACAATGAACTGTGACTGAATTGTAGTAAGAATAATTCTCTTTGATGTATCAGCTATTTTCTGAACGTACAATTGTGATGTTGTGTCCCTTGGCATGCAAGGCCTCAATAAGGAGATTCATATTCACCCAGTGACTGCTCTCTGTAGGGTACACCAGGACTTAACCACACTGGCAAGAGGGCACAGAGCAGATAAGGGATGTCAATGGGATAATGACACTCCAAAGGCTTTAGGTTTTCATAATCCCTGAAATACAAAGTGGAAAAAAATGTTGGACTAGAAATGGTCAGCATTTTGTTGTCTTTCTGAATCATCTCCAATTAATTTGCAAAGGAACAACACATAGAAAAATACTTTACATATTGTCTAGGTCTCATGCCCTATTGATCATCACAATATCTGAAAGGTCATGCTTTTGTTTTGGAGAGTTAAACATTAGCATTAAAACAAGCAGCTTTTCCAATAAAACTAAGTTGGGGATTAATTCCACAGATCACTGATAAGAGAACGTAACATTCTTCACACCATTATAGGTTTTCTTGTTTCTTATTTGTTTATGAAAGGAACCATTACACCATGTGAAGTACAGTATCTGTGTTTTAGAGAAATTATACTCTTAATCTATTTCAAAGTTAACGTAAGTAAAATAAAGTTATGAATCTTGAATGAAACAGTTGTGAACTTGGAAGTTTAATTTGTGTTAACTATTGTTCCTGGAGACAAATGTTGCAAAACAAGCTTTGAAATAGTTTTAGCAATCCTGATAACCACTCATCCTAGTTCAACACTAATCATGGTAGGAAAAAAACCTGCTTTACTTTATGTATTAAGTAGCAGATATGGATACATTTCTTTTATTCGGCCATTCGTGTTAGGTTCTTTGTCATACCTCTAAATTCAAGGATCACTTAAAAGAAAAAGAAATGGAAACTGAAATATTTGAGTGCTTAAACCTAATTGATATCAAAGCAGCATGACAAAAAAGGGAATTCATAGTGGCATAGCCTTACCAGTCATTAACTATTCTCAAGTTTCAGGATAAATAAACCTCCAGCTGGCACATAAATTGCTCACCACAAATAATTAGTAACTAATTTATATTTTTTATGTTTATTTCCTAGGGTAGACAAGTTTGCCAATTACACTACATTTACAGTATCCCATGAATATTTTTCTGTACACTGTAAAACCTAATGAACAATATCTACAGAAATACAACAATTTAAATGTTTTATTCACCTTGCAGTATAGTAGGTATTGTAAGACAAATGCGTCGTGACAGTTACCATACAAAAATACATATTTTTTATGTTTAAATATAAAATATGATTACGAGGAAAGTTATTCATACATTTACTGTACATCTGCTGATTGAATCAATTTCATCAGCTCGTTCTGGAACGAATACATTTCATGACTTGTGAATTTGCGGGAAACACGCTGGTTAAAAAAGCTATTTCAAACTATCTCAAAATCATCTAGCAATCCGAATTATACTGCAAATTGGGTGTTACTTCTGCGTAACAATAAAAAGGGTATTATTCCGTATTGATATCAATAAAAAATTGTAACGTGCGGGTACAATTAAGAGACGCCCCAATGTGGAGGATAAACGTTTTTATTTCAGTGGGCGGACTGTAGCGATTGGGAAAAGGGAAAATGATCATCACTGAGGATCTCATCGAAGTCTTTATGAAAGACAGACGAAGACATTTTGAATTAGAGGCGTTTTCATTCTAGAATGAACACTTAACGTGTAGATTAATCTTGATTAAATAAAAATTCACGTAAACACCGTCACCCCCCCGCGCACGTCAGACAACCTTTGATGTAGCGACCTCTTCAAATACACCTTTAAAACTGTATTATCTGTGATAATGTTACATTTAATATTAAATCAAATCCCTTCTTTACTCATTTCCTTATTTTCCTGCTTCCTCTAGTAGGTGTCAGTGCAGTTTTCTACAGTTCTGCACAGTTTTGCGTTCTTCGAGGGGGCTGGACTTTGATATCACGTACAATATATATCTGCATGGTTCTTTGCAACAGCTTTCTGCAACACCTGCTGGAGTTGTGAACTCACAGAGTGACGCAGGGTGAGGAGTAACCTCATTGTCAATTTGATGTTATTTTACCATTTTTATTTTTATTATGGACCCATATCATTTTAACGGGTATAAACAGTTAAATTGCCCGCGGTAAAAATAAAGGAAGAGTGCCTTCCAGGAATGTTGTCAAAATTATATTTTCCATTATGGTATTAGACGCAACGTGTGACGTCACATGGTTGGCAAAGAAAACCCTCCGATACAGAATTTAGCTGGTTTGGGGTTATCTGTTGGGAATCTTATGTGTGGTATTTGTGTAAAATCTGTCTAAATTGAGCTCTCGTTTTATAACCGACCGTATTTTTAGAGTAGGTTCTGCAGCCTGGTGTTAACGTGCGGTTTTTTTTAGCTGGTTGATTGTCTTTCCCCTCGCCTCGAAATCCGTTCGAGGTTTTATGAAAATAAATAAAATGTCTATACAGTATTATTTTTAATTTGCATTGTGTTTTTATTACATCATTTGTTTTGGCTATTGATAAAGTGTTAGTAAGTTACACCTTGTATCATAAATTATTATGCTAGAGGTCTCAACTACAAAGTTTTACTATTGAAAAAACGTAGCAGAGATACCTGTATTGTTGTCAACCGAGTGTAATTAAACCATAATAGTCAGTAACATTGTTGCAGTTTTTTTTTCAAGCCTGGTACTTCATATCCACTATCTTACGGTTTATTAGAGTATTTTTAGAAACAACTTCAGCCTAACAGCGTTTTTGCTAAAGAGGAAGTTTTCTGAGCTCTGCGGTCAACACTGATCACACCCTCATTCTCTGAAGAAGTTTTATCGCGTACTCAGTTATGATCATTTTTCTGTGAAGTGATGTTTGCTCAAGTGGTGTTTGTCTTGTAGTTGCAATTATTGATAGGTATGTAACAGGGCTTTAATGTTAACGAACAGCAACTATCTCAGGTATTGATTAATACACATACACACACATGAGATTAATAACTCATGTGTGAGATTAATAACACATACGATGCATCTAATAATGAATATAAAAAGGCATTTTAAGTTAGTTTTTGCTGAGTTGTTTAAAACGAAATTGTAACATCAAAGCAAAAAAGGGCAGAGCGGTGGCTCTGTGGCTAAGGCTCTGTGCCTGTGACTGGAAGGTTGCTGGTTCAAATCCCATGGCTGGCATGGATCTTATGGATTTATCTTACAGAATTGGCAGAAGCAACTACAGTCACCCAAAACAGATCCACCATTTTCAGGAAAGGGGAAACAGTTCTGCATTGCCATTAGGATGGCACTAATCAACAAATGTACTGGTACAGACAGTATCCCCAAAAGGCCCTGGAGTTCATTTTCTTTTCTAATGTTGAGAATGCCGATGTGGAGAAGTTGTCTGTACCAGACAGATCTAAAGCCAGCAGACTGGACAGAAAGTACTCCCCTGTAAACATTGTGGATCTGCAGACTGATGATTCTGCAGTGTATTTCTGTGCTTGCAGTTACACAGCATTGAAGCACAATAGAACCTCTGTACAAAAACCTGCAAGTGATCTACTTTCTACAGAACACTAGGGGGCAGTATTGGATAAGAAACAGCATCTGCAAAGTTTACATTAAAGTATTTATTTTAAATGAGCTGTGATATAAGTATAGCAGGTAATTATATTAAAGCAGTTTGTATTTTTTTAATTATAAGTGAAAACAATAATATATGTACAATTTCTGTTAATCTTTATGTCACTGAAGCTGATTAAGAGTCTCCTAATATATAGTACTTTTAGGGCTATACTGCTTTTGTCAGCAGCTATATCACCCTG